AATATTTTGTATAAATTCTTGACTTATTTAATTGTGCAACATGAGTAATTTTATAAACAAAAAAAGTATTCTAAAATCGTGTCGCTTTCAGTCTTGTCATGTTAAAGAATATATATCAATCAAATAACAAATAAGACATTGTTTAGTGTCAAAAGGAAGTTTTCTTTCTGTAGATGCTTGAGCACTTTAACATGGTCTTGATCCATGATCTTGAGATTTACAGCTTGTTTGGATGGTTGTTACACGTCGTTTCATATTGTATCGTATCATATCGTATTGTATTGTATCATTTGATGAATATAATGTTTGGATATATCGTATCGTTTGCTATTATTTCATGATATCACGCACCAGCAATAAAGAATTAACTAGCAATATTATAAAGAAAAATTATGATACGGGGTAAATTTATTATATAAAAAGGTAGGGTAAATAATAAAATAAAATTATTTAATAATAATAAAGGGTGAGATAAGAGAAAAAGACAAGATAACGATGCAACCACACCAAATCGGTCGTTACATAAAATGACACATTTCGTCGTTATGTAATGACGAACTTAACGATACGATACAATAAAATTTAATTAACAACCAAAACAAACATCGTATTTAAAGTAACAACACGATAAAATACAATATGTAACAACCATCCAAATTTGTAATATTCTAAATTGCAGCAAATTTAAACTACTCTGAAATTCATAAATTGTTTCCTATAATAATAATATTTTAAGATTAATACACTCAAAGCTTATCATATTAACTTAGACTCTAAATAAATAAAATACTCAACGATTAAATAATGAATATAATACAATGTTTAAAAATTTATTATAAATATAATTTTACTTAAAATGAAAGATATCATAATTACGTTATATAGTTCAAATAAGGCAAAAATTTATATTAGGTAAATTTTTGATTGATTTTAAATTTCTAAAACTTAGAAGTTCTACATGGTTCAGACTAGGAAATTATTTAATAAAAAATTTAATTAAATTCAAGTTCTTAATATTAAAAAAATAAGTGACTGATAATTTCATAGTGAAATTTATTTCTAAAAAGAAAAAACTTGATCAATATTTCGCGCATGGAATTAGTGCTTTTATAATAGTATATATAGATTATAGATTTATAACTGGTTATATACAGAGTTAAAACCAAATTTTTTATATAATTTAATTATCTTAGTAAATAAAAACTAAAAATAAAGAAAGTTTTGTGAAACATTATGTTTGATTATTTATATATAATAACATGTCCATAACTCTTTAATCAAATGCTTCTTCTAGAAAGTTTGTGTGCCAAAATGTAAATAAATATTCTAATAAATTCTATAATTAGAATAAATTATTTTAATATCTACAATTATTATACCGTTTATCTCAACATCAAATTTTAAAAATAATTCCGATACCAAATAATTATACGTAAAATATACATAGTTCAATACTATTTATATAATATTTTAAAGTTTTTATACTTATTGAGATGACCCTAAGACTAGTCTATATTATTATAAAAATATGAATACGATGTCGGTTTACAAAAATAACCTTAGAATATTAAGCATAATAACTCATAAAAAAAAATATAATCGGAATTCTAGATATTAGTCTTATAATCCTATTAGTTTTAGGACATAATACTACACATTATAAATTCTATATGATTACCTTTAAGAATCCTCTTAGTATAATTACGTTCGGGCATAGACATATAATACGACATGTTGTACTTACATCTCAACATCTTTTATGTTTTGTTTAATAATTTAAGTACAAAAAAATCTAAAAGGAGCGTGTATATAGTAAGCTTCAAACAATTCTGGGACTTACATGTCGTTTATAAAAAAAGGAACTTCCGAATAGTATTTTAAAAAATTTATTTTAGCGACAAAACGACTAAAATGTCAAGTTTAAAGTGGTAATATATTCATACTTCACTTCAAAGTCCTTAATAATAAGTTATTTCTAATTTAATTAGTGATAGGCTACAACCTTTTGCCATTGTTCAAAATTGTACGCACCAAAAAAAATTGAGGCCATTAGCAAACGGTTTCATTCTAGAATTTTAATTGCAATTGATTTTAAAGTCCTAATATGGTAAAGTTTTAACTTTGACAATTTTATCCAACATAGGATTATTCATTGGAAAATATATATAGATAGATATAGATAGATAAATTATTTTCGGGGTAGAGACATATTTTTAGTTATGTAATCCTATTACTTTTAGGATATACTTCTTAATCCTATTACTAATTTAATTTGAAAATGTATATATTACTAATTTAATTTGAGAATATATTATATTGTACAAATTCATTTAGAAAAAGAAGAGCATGTATTATTATAAAAGCAATAATACAATATTAATAGACCAAAATAACCATAAAATATTAAATGAAAGAACTCATAGGAAAAGGACATAACTGCAATAACCTATTTTTTGAACTACAATATCTTCTACGCTAATTTTTAATATTTAAGATTTTAAAATTAATCAAATTCTATTTATTAAATTCTTATTATAAATATGCAGGAAGGTTTAATAAAATCAATTTCATAAAAATCCTCCGTATTGGCAATACAAAATATTAAATGGACTGCATAAAGAGTTAAAATTGAGAAAAAATACCCCCACAATAATATATTTTTATATTATATTTAAACTATATTCCTATTCAAATAGTAATATTTTTTTATCAATTTTTCGTGTAATATCAAAAAATATCCAATTATTAAACAACAACTAAGATAATATTTAAGAATATAAATATGTGAGAAAGAGGGGAAAAAATAGTTGGTAAGTGTCAATACCACTAATGATTCTACAAACATAAAGATCTAAACGCGAAATGTCAGATCACTCTTTTAGCCAATTGAAAATAAAATTTATGGTGGATAAAATTATAATTAAGATTAAATATTCAAAATCAGAGGTGTACTAATATTAAGATCTGAATCAACATAGAATAAAATATTTTTATATTAAAACCAAATAATTAGATCTTTTAATTAATTATTTAGCAAGAGAACCCGATTCAATTATTTTTTAAATTCATGAGTAAAATTCTTCTTTGAGTTTAAATTTTTTTTAGGGTACATAAATTTATTCCATAAAAAGAGCATTACAACATAAATTTAAGAGGTTAGTATATTATTAAGAATCAAAATATTATACAAGTGTATGAGGAAACATAATCAAAACTAAATCTTAAACAAGTACAAGTTTTTAAGACTATATTATAAAGAGTCGACTCTGGTATAACATGATTATTCTTTGTACATGCTTCTGGCGGAATCGAAATAATATTTCTATGTCATGCATTACTTGCAAATATCATATCAAAAGACATGACACTTTTAACAATAATAGCAAGTGATGTACCAATAACGATTTTATTGCGAGGCCACCCACTTTAGATTTGATATACATCTTCAAACAATTTAAATAACCATCACAATTTTATAAGAAAAACAAAATTGATAATATGGGGTGAAGCGCTTATGGCTAAGTGTCAAACGATCGAAATAATTTCCCGGAGTTCTAGAGATATATTGGATATTAATGAACCGTTTGGTGGAAAACTAGTGGTTCGTGAGGTGATTTGTGTCAATTACTACAAGTAGTTCCAAAATCGACAAAAGCATAGACTGTAAAAGTTAACTTGCCAAAGTTAATACTTTTGGTCTTAAATGAAAAAGATTCAACTTACAAAAAATATAAAGTAAGAACATATCAAGATTCAGTGTCTTTTTGCTTCATGTCGAAAATGAAGAAGAACATCCAATAAAAGATGATTTGGTTCTTCCTGAACACTTGGTTATCAACTCCAATGATAATAGTAGTGCATTTAATAAGATAAATATTTTTATCATTAGATTAAAACGCAAATTGCGCAAATTGCATAATAAAATTAAAAAGATATCTTAACTAGTAGAAGTGATATGTTGATCAACTAAATAAAAGGAGGATTGCAACATTTTATAGTAAAAACAAAATATTTTTCAATTTTTGACTCAGCATAAATGATACCAATAATTACTACTAAGAAGAATATACTTTAATACCAAATGGTCTTCTACCATACATGTTTATTGTCAAGGTTAATATTTTTTTACGTATGTTAGTGTCACCGTATATATATAATAGACTAAGTTAAAATTGATCTTTTATTATATAAGTTGATTTTGAAGAAAAATATGTCCGTCATGCAACTGAAAACTTAAATACGCCGAATAACTTATGTAATAACACACAAATGGTATATAGAAGTTTTCACAATAACGTCTGCAAAAATTATGATACTGGTCAATGTGCTTCTAAGTATAATTTTATCCCGAATTCAACTTTCGTCTTCCGAAACTAAGGAATATCCTTTTAAATTTATGTCAAAATAATTTCTAGTATGTTTATGTTTTGCAAATATATATAATAAATATACAAGGACAAACATCCTAAATATTGAACTATATTTGTCGCAATGTATTCTCTTGCACGAACAACAATATGTTACACTTTCAAGAGGGAAATCAAGAGTTCTGGTTTAGGTAAAGCAACCAAAGCATTAGGAGGAAACATACACAAAAAAAAATATTATTCACAAAGAAGCGTTCGTTAAGATACTATCACATTAAATACTTTTAAACTATAATAATAATTATCTAACACGACAAAATTGCTCATTTGTTTAAGTTTTGATGTTGTCCTATTATTTTAAATTCATGTATTATGCTAATGTAATAATATTTTTCTGCATTTAGATGATTTTCGTATTATTATACATAAAATTACTCTCATTAATTAAATTTTATTCTTATATATAAATAAATATTTAAATCATCACAAATCATTATTAACGTACAACGCAGATTCATAGATACTAATATAATTAAAAGTATAAACTACTTATAGAAAAGAAAAGAAACACATTCGTTTTTATATTTATCTAGCCTAATGATTGATTCTCTTAAAATGAATCAAATTGGATTTTCCAAATATTTACCCTCTTATGGGCAGTCACCTATTCCCTTGGCTAAAACAACCCTAACAAGAAATTCCTGTGACCAAATCAAGACGCAGTCAGAAAAACCCACTTCGAAGATTTAACACACTGATAAAGAAGATGAAATTTAGGGCTCCTCAGAGAATTCCTTGCTTCGGTTATAATGGACGCCTCAATCATCTACATGCACAGCGTTACTATTTTACGAGTACCTTTTTTCGTAAGGTACAAGCCACCGAAGCTCGAGCTTCGCTCAATAGTGGCGGCAGCAGTAGTAGTAACAGCAGCTCTCAGGGTACAACTCTATTTTACTTCGCTGCTTGAAAAACAATCTGTGAATGAGTTGCATTTTATATGAAATGATGCCATCACGAGCGTTGAGAACTTTAATGTATTGTGAAAGTTCAAATTACTTTTGTAATTCTAATTCTATTGATGAACTTTCTGATTTATCTCTGGAAGTTGGTAAAATTGTATCAATTGAATAGTCGAGATGCACACAAGCTTGCTTAGACACTCTGTCAACAAAAAAGGAAGTAAAATAAAATAATTTACAATTCAGATTCTAGGTTTATTGTTCTGGACAATGTGCTAGATAAATTTAAAATGAGATGGTTGAAATGGAGGAGTACTGTGAGAGTCTATGTCATGCCAGGGTACCCACCCAGAGTGAAAGGTAAAATATTGTCAGGTAATGGAGCTTCTGTTACTTTAAAATGTTGTTTGTCAACTCATAGAGTGATGCTTTATAATTTGAGTACACTTCTTGGTCAAATAAACGTTCAGAGGCTGCAAATCAGATTCTGTTGGAAGGTACAGAATCCTAAAATAGTCAAGGGACTATTCTATTTGATGCAGGAAAATTATTACCAATATGAAGTGTTGGGTTAAAGAAACTCTGTGGATTGGAATAAAGTTAGTATACAATATTATCTTGTGCCTTATTCATATAGGCACACAAATTAACACATTAACAAAATAGAGCACAATGACTTATGTGGCAAATTCCAAACTAAATCTAGTGAAAGTGGAGTTGATAGCTGGAGTGAGCTGCGCATACTGGAGGTCTCCTCTTGTTTTTTTTTTCTTTTTTAGATTTTGAATTGACGCTGGTCTTATGTAAGGCTCGTGTCTGATGGTTTTTTTTCATGGTAATCTTTTACCTGCCCAGAATAGCTATTGTGACCTGCTGAAAATTCAATCTGGTTCTTGGTTCCTTAACTTTAAAACTATATATAATGCTCCATCAGATTTTAACTTAATAGTGGTTAATCCAGTTACTTGTTCACCTGTCCCAATATCGGCACAACAGCTGAGATCTGAGGCTACTGGTATGCAGGTAGCAATCTCTTATTGCCTGGTGCAACAGTCGCAACTATAGTTATGCTTGGTCTTCTACATGCCCGACGTCTTTATGATGATCAAAAGGTATTGTTCTAACTCATAAACCTAATGCCGTTTGTGAACTATTGCCTGTTGGGTTTCTCTTTTGGTTTGTGCAAAATCAGATGACATCAAGTTAAGATATTATGTTTTCTCCCATGGAGCATCCTAACCCTCTTTGAGTCGCAGGTTGAAGAGGCAAGAGAAAAAGGAACTTTAGAATTCCGGCCTGATGCAAAGGTAAGAACGCATTTCTATTTCCTATGCAATTAATCTTTCAGCTTGCCACATTATTCTATGCAGTTTTTCATGCTGAACTTATTTGCCTTCTCAATTGTAGGCTACTTTCATGAGATTGCTTCCACTACGCTCCATTTCTAGATTCTGGGGTACCTTGACCAGTGTGGTAAGTCTCTAGCAATTTCAAATAGCAGAAGATTCGTCAAAAGTTCTGGATCAATCTGACTCCATGCAATGCTCAACCAGGAACTTCCGATGTGGCTGCGCCCATATGCATATAAAGGATGGGCTCGGGCATTTCATTCAAGTAAGCAGCCTTTCTAGTTTCTACTTCGTGATGCTCTGACCATTCTTCTTACAATCTTTTTTTTATTTTTTTGATAAGTAAAGATTTTATTATAACTGGTACCAAGATGGTACATAGAAAAAAAGTACACACTACAAGAAAGTATGAAATTTGCCACAAAATTTTTTGTTGCCATATATTGAATATTGTTGCAAAAAGTACTTTTGGCAACAACAGAAAAGTTGTTGCATGTCGTTGCAATAAATGCTGATGGGAAAAGTTTTTGCAACAACAAAAGATGTTGCAAAAAGTTGCCGTAACGCAACAAAGAAAGTTGTTGCAATAAATTATTTTTTGGTCACACAATTGTGGCTTATGAAAATATTTAGCAACAACAATTATTGTTGCGATAAAATATTATTTTTTCGCAACAATATTACTTGTGGCAAAAAAATTGGCGGGAGGGTGGTTAATATTCTGTTATAAAGGCTTTTAGCAACAAGTATTGTTGTGGCCATAAAATCACTTTTTGCCAACAATATTACATTTTTTGTTGTACAACTAACAACAACAAATATGTAGTTGCTACATAAACAATTCACATTTTAAATCTTTTAAAACATCACAAATGTATATATAAAAATTAATATATGATATATATTTGGAAAAGTCAATACACCTGAAGCACAATGTGTTTACATACTTTCAAAACCTACCACTAAAACATATGTTTTTACTTGAAAAAAGAACAAGAACATCTCCAGTGTCATAATTTCTAATCAAATAACAACTCCATAAGTAAATTTTCTTCCGGTAGCTTGTACATCCATGAACCATATTGCCATCTATATTGGTTTACTCATGCTCATCCTACAAAAGAATATAAATTATAGTTATATCTTTTATAAATAAAAACTATAAAGTACACAAGTATGGATCGAAAGAGAGAATAAGACAGAGAAATGAGCAAGAATGAGTGAATCCATTGTCTGGCCGATGGTTATTTAAGAGAATCTTGTTAGGTTAACCACATAGTAGTAGTAGTTGATTCATTTTTACAAGCCTATAACCGATTTAGAAGAGAGGAAAATGTTCTTCAAGCCCACATTGTAATCCGGTATTTACTCTTAAATAAACAAATTTTGACTGAGGATGCTATCCTTTATAGCAACCTTTCTTGACAGATATTACACAATTGTGCTCACCAGTAGAGAAACTATTAGTACCCATAGATGCTCCTTGACTTCATGGCCATGGGTGGGAGTGGGAATGCTATCTTCAGACATATGTTCAGTTTCTAGTAATATACTTCGTCATTAGTTAAGCTTGTCTGCATGTTTTGACTACCCATAAGCTAGTAGACTAGTTAACAGTGGTGGTATTAGACCTTCTTGATGTACACTACTTTGCTAGAATCAGAAAACTGAGAAGCTTCATCGTGAGACCAAAATATAGAAGAAGAGCGCTAACTATGTACTATAGATTTTGCATATCGCCACAAAATCACATTAGATCTGGCTTCTTTATTTTCTTTTACTTTTTTTCTCCAAAGTATAAGATATTCTCTGTATATAACTTTAGTCTAGAATCTTTTAAAAGCCCAAGATCAAACAACTTTTCATTTTGATATGATATGACTGAGAACCAAAAGAATTGCAACAGAAAACTATAAAGCCTAAGAACAAGCACATCACCTTTCAAAGGTCCAAGATCAAGCAACTTTTCTTTCTGAATTGAGAAGAATGCAAATATGACAGCGAACAATATCAACCAAGGAATTTACTTTTACAAGAGTTAGACAGAGTTTTCTTACCGTGATGTCATCCATAAGTCTTGAACAACTTGTACCATCCGAACCACTTAAATTAGAAAAAATATTGAAAATTGCAGCAGGAACTCCATTCTGTTAAACATAATAAAACTACATAACTTAATTTGTTGTACAAATCAATGGAAAGGAATGATATAGGAACGAGGAAGAAACAAAGATAGTGCGACAAGAGTAATTTATGGATTCGACTACTTTAATATCTTTGGTTCCATAATCAAAGAGTTTTCTTTTCTCTGTCTCTTTGTGTAATTCTGTTTAAGCAGAGGATGTAGAATCATTCACTATTCAATCATAGGGCATAGAATCATTCGTTGTAACAGTATCACAACACAAGACAATGAAAATGTCAGCCCAGATGAGATCTATTTTACAATTTTATACCATATTTGAGAGAAGCAATGACCCTATAGTTCCAAGGACAAAAACATCAACTGACATTTCGATTGTATCAGCATTGCATAACAACTGCTGCCAGCAGTTATCAAGCTAGACTGAATTCCCAGAATTTTCAAGAGATAAACAAGTAAATAGTACGTAAATAGGCCATGATGCCCATAAATATCATATTGTTAACAGTTCACAGTAACCACTATCACAACCACATGAAAGAAAACCAACAAAATAACACCAAAACCATCTATAGTCATGTATACCAGTTAACTTTTTTTTTGAACCAGACATCATTCAAGATTTCCGCTGTAGAGTGTGGAAATATAGCTTTTTGTACACTTGGTAATGTTTACCTATAAGAAATAAAATGCTGGTCTTATTTACTTTTTTGCAGAAGAGAATAAGAGATTCAGTTAATGAATTAAGATGTGCTACAAGGTATATTTTTGTACACTTAATAATATTGCAAGATGCAGAAACATTAGCAGTACCACCACCATCACCAATTCAAGCCGTAGAGTGAACAGAATACCACAAAAGAGGAAAATGATGCTACCACTTTTACTGTTGTGTAGTTTGAACGAAATATTTTAGGACCAAAAGCAAGTAATTGAAATACCTCATTACTTAGTATATGTGATGCTAGTGCCATCATGCTCTCTTTTAATAGTTTTTGGTCACGCATTAAGGCTTCTCGATTTTTCCGCTCTTCCTCAAGCTTAATCTTTACTTCCTTTAGCTGGCATTCTACACTCTCGTTTACGACGCTCTTCTTCTGCCTCTTTTTGTTGTGCTTGTAGTTTCTCTTGAATTTCTTTCATGGATCTCCTACTTGTTGAATTAACTCCCGAACCTTGGCCACGACAATAACTTGACGTTTCTCCAACAACTTTCACAAATGCAGCATTAATAACTGGGTCCAAATCAGTATCTTCTTCAATTTCTTGAATTTGTTCAGCAATATATTCTTTCACCTTATCCTACAAAAAATTTATATAGGCTTTAACGTTCAATATTTATTTCTACGGACTCACATTCTAGGAATAAGGATAATAGTCTCGCACGTACATGTAACTCAGCAGATGCATCATTAACCCAATGTCCATTCTTCATGTGAGTCAATTCCTAAAGTTTCTGCAAGTTTGCCTCAAGCACAATTCTTGTATCTCTCTACCAAAATAAATCAAATTATGTTATAAAATTAAAAATAACCAAAATTCGTCAAAATAAAGATATATGTTACATGTTCAAAATAGTTTAGAGGAATACGAATCCAACCTTTCAATGTAATACATCCATCGAAATTGAACGGGACCACCCAACTTTGCCTCCATTGCCAAATGAATTGCCAAATGAACCATAACATCAAAGAACGTTGGCAAAAACACACGTTCTAATTTACAAATTGTCACCCGTATACTTTTATCTAGTTGATCTAACTTCTCCACATACAACTCTTTAGCGCACAAATCGCTAAAGAATAATGACAGTTCAACTAATGGATCACATGCATCCTTTGGCAAAATCCCTTTGATGATAAGTGGAAAAATGCGTTGAAAAAAAACATGGTGGTCATGACTTTTAAGTTCGAAAATTCTTGCTTCCTTAACATTGACACAACGACTAATGTTAGAAGCATAAGCATCGGGAAACTTGACTTCTTTAATGAGCTGACAAAATTGAATCTTCTCAGTTTTAGACATTGTATAGCTTGCTGGAGGAAGTATGTACTTATTACCACTTTTTATTGGATGAAGGTTTTTTTTTATTTTCATCTCTTGTAAGTCCAACCGAGATTTTAATGTGTCCTTTGTTTTTCCTTCAATATCTAATAACGTTCCTATCACACTTTCACTGATATTTTTTTCTATATGCATTACATCCAAATTATGTCTCAACAATAAAGTCCTCCAATATGGGAGTTCAAAGAATATACTTCTTTTCTTCCAATTGTCATATCTTATTGTATCTCGTTTTCTTTTTCTTGTGATGCCGTCAACTAACATTTGTGAGGATGTATTAAGTTGTGCAAGCACATCATCTCCACTCAAAGCTTGTGGTGCAAGTCTTTCTTCCTTTGTGTTATCAAAAGAACTTTTATTTCGACGATAGAGATGATTTATTTCCAAGAACCTACGATGACCCATATAGCATTGCTTGCGACCGTATTTCAAGTAAATAGAACAAGTATGCATATGACAAACCGGACAAGCTAATTTACCTCTAGTGCTCCAACCGGACAAAATACCATAAGCTGGAAAGTCATTAATTGTCCACAATAAAGAAGCACGTAAGAAAAAATTTTGTTTCATAAAAGCATCATAAGTCTCAATTCCACTCTCCCATAAGGTTTTCAAATCATCTACCAAAGGTTGGAGATACACATCAATATCCATACCAGGGCCTTTTGGTCCAGGAATAAGCAAAGACAACAAAAGATTTGATTGTTTCATGCATAGCCATGGGGGAGATTATATGGGATCAACACTATCGGCCACATACTATAAGCATTACTCATTGAACCAAAAGGATTAAAGCCATCTGAAGCAAGCCCAAGCCTTACATTACGCGGATCTGAAGCAAAACTTGGATATTTTTCATCAAAATTTTTCCACGCCAAGGAGTCAGCTGGATGTCGTAAAACTCCATCATCGACTTTCTTATTTTTATGCCATCTCATATCTTCAGCGGTACGTTTTGTCATAAACAATTGTTGTAATCTTGGTATGATAGGAAAATATCTAAGAATCTTTCTAGAAATTCCTTTATTTCTCTTATTCGAATTTTCTGAAGCAACCTCTTCATCAGTATGTTCTCCTTTTCTTACCATCCATCTTTTCT